CTCAATAATTATTGACTATTTTTGACCGTATTCTTTGTCAATGTGATAATTATCAAGTCCCAGCATATCCGCCTGCCCCCCCCCAAACCCCAAACCTTGGGACATGCAAGGCTCGGTTGAATTAAGATCAGATGGACTGAAGAACCTTCTTTCAAACTTCAATTAAGTAATTTTGTTGTTGTTTCTTAGTCTAAGTACTGATGATGAGATTTTGCCATTTATAAGAGCACACAGTCAATGCTGATAGATTTATTACAACTAGAGACCAATCCTCCCTCCCACTCTCCCAATAGTTGGGAAGATACATATAAGAGTTAGGTGTAAAATCACTTGGTCCGATTGCATTTCATCAAAGTATTCCAACCTGAACAACTGAACCATCCTTTCAGATTCAACTTGACTTAGTTGGTAGAACATTTGCCTCTGAGTCAAAAGCTTTTGTGTTCAACCTTATGTTGAGCATTGAGTTCATATTCCAAATTCCAAGATGTGCTTGGATTAGGATTACAATATCAGAGGCATCATCCTTCAGATGAATCATTAAAACTGATCTGTCTGTTCTTAGATGGACATAAACATCCTTTGAAAAGAGAGTTTCTCCTGGTGTCCTGGCCTACAGTCCTCCAGATACATTGGTCACTCATTTCAAGGTACTGTATTTAAAAAAGCTTGATGTATGCAAAATGGATGCTCCATTTGCCTACGAAAGTAATGCATTTGACAGGAATTACTTTTAAGTGCTTTGAGATGTGATAATCATAGAATCGTACAGCACAAAAAGAGGCCATTTGGCCCATCGGGTCTGTGCCAGGTCTTTGAAAAGAGCAATGTAATGTCAATCCCACTCCCCAGCCCTTTCCCCAAAACCCTGCAAACCCATTCTCCTCAAATACCCGTCCACCGCGTTTTTAAAAGTTGTTATCGAATCGGCCTCCATCACCCTTTCAGGCAATGCATTCCATCTCCGAACAACTCGCTGCTTGAAAACATTTCTTCTCACCTCCCCTCTGCTTCTTTTAGAAACTATTTTAAATCTGTGACCTCGAGTGACCAACACACCCACCAGTGGAAACATTTATTTCCTTTCTGACCTACCAAATCCCTTCATGATTTTGAAAACCTCGATAAGGTCTCCTCGTAACCTTCTCTGCTCCAATAAGAATAATTCTAGTCTCTCTAGCCTTTCCTCATAATCAAGGTCCCTCATTCAGGATACCATCCTTGTAAATCTCCTCTGCACCCTTTCCAATGCCTTAACATCCTTTCTATAGTGTGGTGCCCAGAATTGGACGCAGTATTCTAACTGAGGCCTAACCAGTGTTTTATATAGGTTACTCATAACCTCCTGACTCTTGTACTCTATGCCCCTATTTATAAAGCCTAGTATCCCATATGCTCTTTTTACAGCTTTATCTACCTGACCTGCCACCTTCAAGGATTCATTTACATGAACCCCCAGATCACTCTGTTCCTTCACCCCCTTAAGATTGTATTATCTAGCTTATATTGCCTCCCCTCATTCTTTCCTTCAAAATGCATTACCTCGCATTTCTCCACATTGAAATTCATCTGCCATGTGTCTGCCCACTTTACCATTCTGTCTATGTCTTCCTGGAGTTGGCTACTATCCTTCTCACTGTTTACCACCCTACCTAATTTTGTGTCGTCCGCAAACTTGGAAATGGTACTTGCTATACCCAAGTCCAGATCATTTATATATATTAAGAAAAGCAGTGGTCCCAATACCGATCCCTGGGGGACGCCACTGTACACTTCCCTCCAGTCAGAAAAGCAACCGTTCACCACAACTCTCTGCTTTCTGTCTCCCAGCCAGTTCTGGATCCATGCTGTCACCGTCCCTTTTATACCATGGGCTTCTATTTTTCTTACAAAAGATTTATTCTGTGGCACTTTGTCAAATGCCTTTTGAAAGTCCATATAAACTACATCAACTGCACTACCTACATCCACCCTCTCCGTTACCTCATCAAAAAATTCTATTAGATTTGTTAGACAAGATTTGCATTTAACAAATCCATGCTGGCTGTCCTTAATTAACCCATATTCTTCTAAGTGAAGATTTATTCTGTCCCGGATTATAGTCTCCAGGAGTTTCCCTACTATTGATGTTAGGCTGACTGGCCTGTAGTTCCCAGGTTTGTCCTTCTGCTCCTTTTTGTACAGGGGAGTAACATTAGCCACTCTCCAGTCCTCTGGCATCATCCCTGTGTCCAACGAAGATTGAAAAATTGTAGCCAAAGCCTCCGCTATTTGTACCCGTGCCTCCCATAGTAACCTAGGCTGCATCCCATCCGGATCGGGCGATTTATCTACCTTGAGCCCAGTCAACCTTTTCAATACTTCCTCTCTGTTTATACTTCATCCTATTCATTTCCTCTACCCTCTTCTCCGATACTGCTGCATTTTGTGAAGACAGATGCAAGGTACTCATTCAGTACATCAGCCATGCCCTCTGCCTCCACAATAAGATTTCCCTCTTGGTCCTTAATTGGCCACACCCTAACTTTGACTTACCTTTTTTTCTTGATATGTTTGTAAAATATTTTAGGATTCCCTTTAATGTAACCCTCTAACCTTTTTTCGTGTAATCTTTTTGCCCCTCTTATTTCCTTTTTCAGTTCTCTTCTGTACTTCCTATATTCTATTTGGTTGTCTTCTGTATCTTGGGCTTGACAATTCTCATACGCCTCCTTTTTCTGCTTCATTCTAGACACAATTACCTTCTTCATCCAGGGAGGTTTGGATGGCCTACTTTTCCTTTTTGTGGGAATGTATTTATTCTGTCCCCGAGCTATCTCATCCTTGAAGACTTCATAATAAGATGCTTTAAAAATACAAGTTCTTTCTTCTTGAAGTTTTCAGTTACTCTCCTTAGCTGGTTGTGTAATCCATCTGTAAACTATGTGTAAACCATGTGTAAACTATGTGTAAACATAAGTGTTCATTGAAATTAGTAGCTGTTAATAATAATAATAATCCTTGCATTTGATATAATAATAATAATAATAATCCTTGCATTTGATATAGCGCTTTTCACGTCGGGAGGACATCCCAAAGAGCTTCACAGAACACACTGTAAAGTGAATTGACTGTATATTTGTGGGCGAACGCGGCAACCAATTGCGCACAACAGTGTCCCATAAACAGTCGTGGATTGAGTGACCAAATTATTATTTTTTTTAAAAGGAATTGTTAACCCCAGAAAAGCCATCTGCCAATTGACTAACAACTGGGTTCCTACTTACTGCTAGGTAAACAGAGGCATGTGGAGTAAGGAAACTTATCCAGTGTTTCGCCCTGCTGGGAATCGAACCCAGGTCTCTCATTTGTGAGGCGAGTGCTTTAACACTGAGCTGCATGACTCCACTAACTATATGAGTTGATCATAATATTTGGCATTAGCAACTTGGCAACGTGTATACCCCTTTTTGTTATCTCCGATACTCTTCCTTCCTCTCCTGAAGGCATTGTGACATGTTGGAATAATTTTCCATAGATGCCAACTGCTCTCTGTTTCCTTGCCCAAATGACCAGACAGTGAGTGTTGGCAGACTACTTGACTGTTGGAAAAGCATCACAGAAGAGCCCAACTCTGTCCTTACTCACCACAGCACACTGTCTAGCAGGGGTCCCTGAATGGCGATCAGTGGAGCATGAAATGTGGTTCTTTTTTGTCTCTCTAGCCCAGGGGCAATGAGGCAAATTGTAGTGTCTTATTCCTACTGTAATAATAATAATAATAATAATAATCCTTGCATTTGATATAGCGCTTTTCACGTCAGGAGGACGTCCCAAAGCGCTTCACAGAACACACTGTAAAGTGAATTGACTGTATATTTGTGGGCGAACGCGGCAGCCAATTGCGCACAGCAATGTCCCACAAACAGTCGTAGATTGAAAATGACCAATTTAATTATTGTTTTTGGTTTTGGAGGGATTATTATTAGGCGTGTGGAGTAAGGAAACTTGCCCAAGGTTTCGCCCTGCCTGGATGTAGTTAAAATCAGTCAATTTAACACAGACTTCTGGACTGACTTGAATGGGGGGGTATTATGGACTGGTGGTCTCTGAACACTGACTCATGTCTCAATCACTGCCATATTTATGGACTACTGTTCAACTGGTTTGTTTGCAAGTGGCTTTTTTACTCTTATGGTCTGGAAAACAATTTTCACAACTGGTTAACATGTGATTGTGGAATCTTGCAGCACCACTGACTGGGGGATAACAAATCCGTAACAGTCCAATTAAGTGCCTAAACGTTTAATATATAAATATATATATATTTATGCTAAATCAAAACTTCTTTTTCTGAACAGTACTTGTTTGAATAGAAAGATTTATCACGATTTTCACAGATCCACCTTTCGAAGCGTCCAGAACTTAATGAGAACTCCCAATGTTAATGGACTGTACAAATTGATCACTTGCTCTGAAATTAGTGATCGGGATACGGGACAGCATTCAGCAACATCCTGAAGGTAACACCTCAAGTCAATCCAGAAGCTGCTGGATCTTTCTTGACAATGTAATGATGAATTAAATCCAGAATAAGGACTATTGCAGCTCTGGCAAGAAATCAAACGTACCAATCAGCATCAAGGCAGGTAGGTTAACTCTATTATGTTATTATGTTAACACTGGTATAGTACACCATGCAGCCCTTACTTCATTACAAGATTCCAAAATTGGTTTAGATGAATAAGATCCTTCGGCCCACCTGATCTCATCCCTCTAGGATACCTAGCCTGCCATCCTTCCATCACAGCATCATGTTGCTTTTTAAATGAGTCCAGTGTCATGGCTTTAACCACCTTTTACACAACCTGTTCCAGGCCGAGAAAAGGAAAACTTCCAAGTGTGAATGACTAAGAGCATGTTCCAAGGTCCTTTCATCAGAATTTTCTCAAACCTTTCTAAATAAATTGTTATTTATACAGTATTTAAATTCCAGAACAATTTACATGTGTTATACTTACTTGGCCTGAAGGACCAATGCAATAACAGCAGCTGCCATTGGAGCGGCACTCGAAGTACCTTTGAAGGTATTGGTGCATTTACCATCAAGTTCAGTTGTCACCTATAGAAAACAAAGCAATTGCATACATTGTACGATTAACCAGGTCAGGCTTCCAATTAATTCCCACCCACATACTGAAACAATACAGAGTGCAAAAGAACAGAATCGTAACATTTATACAAGCAGAATTTACTATGAAATATTGTGTTAGATACATAAAATAATTGGAAATTTTTGCTTGCCGGTTATGTGTTAAAAGTAACCTTATTTTAATTCTGACACTGACTACAATAATGTTTAACCCTTTAATGTCCATTGTAGGATTGTGACTTAGATTTTTCATTAAATACTACTGTGAACACAGAAATATGTTAGGATTCCTAATGCTCCCTCAACTCTTAACACTGTGGACAAGTTTACTGATCCGTCCCATTTTGATATGTTTTCTGTGTCAGAGATTGACCTAATCTTTGATGCGAACTGTCAATATTCAGGCTCCTTTTTTTTAATGGACTTAGTTATGGGCCTTTGGAGACAGTTTTCAAGCAATCAAAACCTAATTTGTTTCCAAAATCCTCCCAGCTCCCCAAAGGGAGATAAAAAACAGAAAATAGAAGGAACAAGTCAAGGATTAGGTTTTAGAGTTTCATTTTAAAAGTGAAAAGGAGTGGGGCAGGCAGATTGTTAGATTAGAGTGAAACAATGTAAAAGTTTAAAGATTGAAAGAAAATAGGAGAAAACAAGAATAGACCAAAACAGAAGACAATGAGCTGAAGAATTAAATGTTTATTTTGATTAAAAATGACTTCATGCATTTATGTTTATATACTGTATTAGGGTAAATATTGCAATAAACAGACAGCTTCTTATATTTGAGAGTAACTTCATTATGACACCTTTTCAACATCAAAGTACAATGACTTCAAAACTTCAGAAAAACATCTAGTTCAGGGAAACTGCAATTTCCTACATTAATTCTAGTTTATAACGTGCAGCATTCAAATGCCATAAACTGTCAGCTGTGTCTATGATATTGGGCAGAAGTGTTACATTTTGAAAGACACTACGAAACGTCTTTTACACACAGGAGTACATACACTATGGTCTGTAAAGTTGGAAAATATTTTGCTACGAAAGAAAACATTTATCTGCAAGCAGTCTGAAATTAAACCGAAGTCCTTGTCTCCCTTGAGGTCAAATACCGACCTTCAATGTCAGCAAATGGACTTAGCTTCATTGTGCAGTGTATAAACAAGTGAATAAGCATTGAGAATTGTACAGATTCCCTATGCCATACAGTGTTACATGTTTCATAAGGATTTGTATTGTTCAGAGTTGGCATCCATACCTCTGCGCGGAAGAAGGATGCTGATATTGGGGACAAATGTGACGTTGAATTGATTGGCACCTAAAGCACTCAGATCTGCCAAACAAAAAACTATATTCCTGAACCAAATGAGGAGAATAAAGTGCATATTTAGGAATAACAGAATAAATGAAGATTGCAGTTTTTTTGAACTACAAAATCAGCAGGTTGCCCTTGTATAATATTTCACATAGAATAGAATAGCTCGCAGTAATTCTCATGGGCATTGTAACTTTATAGTAATGGAACATTTTCAGATCTTATTTATATTTAGCAAATGTTAATAATTAAAGACAAAAGAATGACCACAGTGAAATCTTACACTGGGATGGGTCATTTATTGTAATACAATTTATTCCTGTCCTTATGATGTTGCAACCATTTTCTTTAACCAACATGGCAGAATTTGCTTTAAATGTACTTGTGAATATACTCCTGCATTTGTGTCACTGTTTTTTTTGGCCTAACACTAGGTCTGGATTGGAGATAAGAAGGGTTTGCTGCACATCATACAAGCTCTGGATAATAGGGAAGATAAATTTACTTCTGAGTTTCTGCTAACTCTGAACTTGTTACTATGATGTGTGTGAGTCCAAAGACATCTCCCATGCTTTGAGGAGAGATGCCTAGTTTTGCCTTATTGAGCAGAGATCAATAACTAACCACAGCAACAAAGGAAATTACGTCTCATTCCTCCAGGATTTTGTAGGATTTTGATTAGTAACAATTAATGATGTCTCCAACTGGGGTTTTCCATAGATTGTGTTGAAAAACAGCAACTTTCAAATCAGGAGCATCTTTCAAATTGCTTTACACAAATGACTTGAAGCCCAAATGGGGGTGGGAGGGGTGTGGGGTGGGGAGAGGGGGGAAAGATTAGCTGAGAAGGGAAGGGAAGAGAAAGGTGACTGGAGTTTCAAAGAGCAAGCCAGAATGGTCCACTGATCATAATAATAATCCTTGCATTTGAAATAATGCCTTATCATGTCTTCAAGATGTCTCAAAGCGCTTTACAGAATATCCTGTAAAAGGAAATGGCTGCATATTTTGTGAGCGAAATGCAGCAGGAAATTGTGCACAGCAGTGTTCCACAAACAGTTGTGGCTTGAGGGACCAAATTATTATTATTTAGTTATTCATTATTGGGTGTAGCTGGTTGGGGATGTGAAGCAGGCCAGTGTTCAGTGAGTGGAGCAGTGGGGTTGAGGAGCTCACAGAATTAGGGTGGGTTGAGGTGAGACATGGAGGTATTTGAATGTGAGGACAAGTTTGAATTCAATCTGCTGGATTTGGGGAGCTAATGGAGCTGAGCAAAGATGGTGGATAGGCCCACAAAGCTTAGCGTGGGAGAGGACCCAACTTCAGAGTTGTATATTTAGGGATGAGCTGAGGAGTCTGGCAAGCAAGGCATTAAAGTAATCAAACTGGCAAATGCTGAAGGTTTGGAGGAGGGTCTCAGCTTTCTAGGGCAGAGGAAATGGAAAGGTGAGCAATATTGCAGAGGTGAGGGAAAGCAGAGCCCAATGTAAAGCTTGAAGGATAGTTGGGGGTTGAACAAGACACTAAGGTTTTGCATCGAGGTTACAAGGTGTGGTCAGTATACGAGACGAAAAAGTGTTCCTGGAGCCTCCCTCAAATACCTGAGCATCATTCATTTCTTCTGATGTCCCGATCACTAAATTAATAATAATCTTCGCACTTGATACAGCATCTTTCATGACAAGAGGACATCTCAAAGTGCATACACTGTAAAGTGTGGTGACTGTATTTTGTAGGCAAATACAGTGGCCAATTTTGTGCAGTATCCCATAAACAGCCATGAGTAAATTACAAAGTTTTATTTAAAGGATTGTTGGCCAGGAGAAACTCGTTTCTTTTTTCAAATAGTGCTATGGGATCTTTAACGTTCCCCTAAACAGGCAGGAACTGTATTTAACCTGATCTGAAGGACAGTATTTCCAACAATGCAGATTTCATTGGAGAGTCAGCTTAGCCTTGATATATAGCTTAAACCTACATCCATCTGATTCAGAGGGGAGAGTGCCACCAACTGAGCCAAGCTACACACACTTCTTCTGATGCACTCATTTTATTGTGTTTTTTTTACAAATCAATCTGGATGAGTAAAAGATAGGCATATCTTAGGTCAACAACAAGAACTTTCATTTATATAATGCCCTTCACGTGGGGTAGCATCCCAGAGCATTTGAGGCTCATAGAAATATTAACTACAACAACTTGCATCAAAATAGAGCCCTTCATATGGGATAGTGTCTAATAGCGCTTAATCCCAATCCCCTTTCTTTCCCTATTACCATTAAGGGGTATGATAATAATAAATAATAATAATCTTTGCATTTGATATAGCACCTTATCACGTCATTTAGATCTCTCAAAGCGCTTTACAGAATATACTGTAAAGTGACTCTGTGTTTTGTGGGTGAAACGCGGCTGTCAATTGTGCATAGCAGTGTCCCACAAACACTCATAGAATGAGTGACCAAATTATTATTATTATGATGAAAGGATAGGGCTTTAGAATTAAAAGATCTGCAAGCACTAATTACTGATGGAACAAGCTCGATGGGCTGAATGGCCTCCTGTTTTCCTATGAAAAACAGGATAAATTCTGATTTTAGGTTCTTTCAATGCCCAATGTGTAAATGTATAACTAGGTGAGAACTCATCTACGTAGACCTGAAAGTCATGGGTTCAAATCCTGGTCTGAGCTCATGACTGTTTGTGGGACATTGCTGTGCACAATTGGCTGCGTTTCTCCCATAAAACACAGTCAATCCATTTTACAGTATATCCTGTGAAGCTCTTTGGGACATCTCGACGATATGGTATCAAATGCAAGGATTGTTATTATTATTATTATCTGAAAATGGTCAGCAGTTCAAGTGTTACAATAGTCCTGGGGAAAATCCGTGAGGGATCCAATTCTTGATCATTATCCAGAGACCATTGCAGGAATGTGAATGTCTGAGTGACGAGAGAAACTGGCTAAGCTGTGAACCATGTCCTCCTTGGTTTAATAACATGCCAACACACTGTTGAAGCTCACACATAAATAACCCCCACTTGACTTTGGAACTGGAAGGTGTCCATCACTATTGGAACTCTATCATAGCAGAAGGGAAAATAAATTGATGGCCTGACATTTCTTAGGCTTAAAGACCATTGGCCTAAAATTCAAGGTTGTGTGGAATTTTGGCAAACACTTAAAAATTAGACTTAATTTAATTTAAGACTGTTTTCCAAAATTCTGCGCAAGGACTAATTTAGAACACAATTTTATTTTTTGGTGCTGCATAATATCTGCAGATTTTTTCAGCTGCCCTTTTCATTTAATTCCATCCGGGAGTCTACAATTCACCCTTTCCCTTGGTTCCTACTTTTCTCTTTGACCGCTCCTTCGGTCATCTTTCCAATCCCCCTCAGGCCCCACTACCTCACACTGCTCCCACCCCCAGCTTGATGCATACCCTGGATTGTCCAACAGCTTGGGATGACTTCCCAATGTGGAACGTCGTGTGTTAAAATGTAAATTTGTTGTAGTTGCATAACTTGCACATTCTGATGAAGGAATGGAAAGGGTGGATGCACAACAAACAACAACAAAATTATTTGTATAGCGTCTTTCACGTCGGGAGGACATCGCAAGGCGCTTGACAGACAGAGTTACAGACCC